GCAGCCCGGCAGCGGCCGCGATCGCCGGGCCTTGGTCCGCACCCGCCGGCTGGAAACTTCGCCATGTTTGCGAGAGCAGCTGCCGCTCTGGCTTGACGGGCGAGAAAACCCGTAAATCTCGAGGAGGTTCTTGACCCTTGTATTTTTGGCAGCGCCAGCTTTACCGAGCAGGCTGTGTCTGAGAGGTGGGTCTCTGAAGGGGTCGTGAAAGGCAGCACTGGAGATGCCTGCCCGTGCTGAGCGAGTTTGTGACTGCCAAGTCATCGCTTTATCTCGCAGCTTTCTCTGTTTCGGAGGAGCTTGCGGTGTTTGTGCTTAAGCCACAGCTGACAGGGCAGAAGATGGTCGCGCTTAAAAACCTTTTGCTGTTTTGAAAAAGAAGTAGGTTTCTAACCTCAAGTTTATATATTTGCGTATAAGGGCTAAGAATACCACCCCAACTCTTTGGAGAAGAATAATCTAGTTTAACTCTATAAAGTTTCACTGAGTTTATAAACAAAAATTTTTTTCCCCTGAGTCTTGCATGTAACTCAGGATGTGGTGGTTCTGTGTGCCTAGGACATTTTTTGGGTTTTATCTGTGTACTATCATGCTGCAGTGCCATAGCAAGCTGAAGGGCATATCTTAAACAAAAGCCACTTACCACAACGTTTTTTAATTTACCAAACTCTTTCTAACAGACTGTGAGTTCAAGGAAACTCCAGACAAGTCCAAGGAGACTGGAGCGTATACATCAGTTACGAGGGAGAGACTGGCTCAAAGCATAGCTGTTAAGGAAGTAGGGTTGGTGACTTTGGTGACAGTATAGAGGCTGTCACATATGAAGATGATATATTCTCAGAACTACTACTGTTCAGCATGTAAGTGCTGGATAAAAGAACAAAGTGTTCTTGAGTTTTGGTCAGCTGTAATAAGGTTCAGTGCTTGGTTGGGGGGGGAGCATGTTGGAGGAACACATTTCACTTGAAGGTGGTTGTCTGTTTTCTCATTAGTGAACTGAGATATATCTCCTAAGTGGCAGTAGAACAAAACTATTAAATTCTAATTATTGAAGCTCAGGTACAGTTGGCATTGGAGAATACATCTGCATTAGTATTTTAATTCAGATAACGAGTGTGCTCTTGAAATGCGTTCCCAGTCATCCTTGCTTGCTGCACTTTGGTTCACGTCACAATGTGATCTGGGAGTGCATAAATTTTTTTCATTTTGGAAGAAGCTAAAACTAGAAGGTGCACTTCAGTTGTCAGTGGGTGTTGTCAGTCTAGACAAGAGGTAGTACGAAGTAAACACACAAAAACTTGTATAGTGTGGATGTTGGATCCTCAATAACTGTTTATTTCTATGGAGTTGCTGCTTGTTCTGTATTTGGTTGTTAATGTAGACATAGCCTGAGCCTACCACCAGTGGAGCAGGTAAGTTGAATGCAGTTGTAGCACAACAGCACCAGGGATTGGTCCCTAAGCTTTCAGACCGGTAACTGTGACAGCTGTTGCCTAAGCTGCAAGACTCAAGTTTCGTAGTGTGAAGGCTGTAGGTCAGCTACAAGGAGAACAGTAAGCAAAAACCCAATGTGGAATAATCGTCAACATTGTCAACAGCTTTTTCAGAAAATTTTTTTTCAATAGTTCAATAGTTTTAATTTTTCAATTCAACAATTTCCGTTACTGAACAGCTCCCAAACTTAGAATGTTTAAACAGTGCTGTAGCAGCATAAGGATAAATAGTTTTCCTTCTTGTAAGGGTTTAATGACTTAAATGAATAAAATAATGCTGCATATTTGCTGAAACAGTAACTGGGACTTGTTGGCATTTGTTGAATTACTTTTCCCCTCCTACATTTACCTAGCCTTTGTGGCAATATAATGAATTCATGTAGTGCTTGTGTTACCCTCACCATATCTGAGATCTTTCTGTTCTGTCTTGAGTGGTTGGTTTAAAATATTCTGACTTGGTTAGCTCTCTTAATCTGCCTCTTAGGGCTTCCTTTCTCAGTGAATCAGCATGGTAATTACCAGCAGCTGCTTTAAAAATACCACTTACAATGGAAAAACTGAAGTTTTGCATACGCTTTTTAAATCATCCTGTTCCCCAAGACACTGGTGAATTGAGTGGCTGGTGTCTCTGTGTTAAGTAACTAAAATGGGTTATGGGGATAAGCTGGACAACTGATTGCCACTGCTGTACAGATTTATTTTTTTAACTTTGAGTTTGTTTTCCACCTGTTGCAAATTAGGAAGGTTTCCACTTGCATCACTTCATTACAGCCTTTAGTTTCAAGTGTTCTGTGTTTCAAGGTAGTTTCAGTGTCATGGCTGAAAAGCTACAGTAATGAGAAAATTTTAAAATTTGCATAGGTAGCAAAAATGCTTTTGTAATTAATACTTCATTTTTAAAAAGTCTTTATAAATGCTACGTATTGCCAGCAGCTATGTTAAAGTAACTCCTGTTTTTTCCTTGACTTTGCTGTGAATCAGCCCTCTTTTGGGTTAAAGGGAATCATCAGTTTATAAACACCTGGAGATTTATATTTCTAGCTTGGAAACTAGTAGCTGATCCTGTGTTCTCGAAACAAGTCCAACCTAAAAAGCTTATTAGAATTGGGTCTGTAGTGTGTGTAGAATCCACTGAAAATTGCAAACTTGCTTTCTAGAGCCCAGTCTTGAATTTTTTTTATACAAAGTTTAATGTGTTGTGTGAAAGTCTGTACAATAACAATCCTTTGAAAAGCACTGCTAAACTGTTGCAACCTTTTGCCAGCAATTGTACTGTTCTAACTCAAAAGCCTCTCACCGATCCCCCTTCAACCTGTGTGTATTGGAAGATCTGAGCAAAGCTCCCAGTTAGTTCAGGTTCTTACAGCTTGGGATTGACTCCAGCTTGACAGGGCCTTAGCGCTTTGCAGGTCTTAAGGGATCTGAACAGAGGGCAACAGGAGTCTTGTCGGAGTAATGACCATAGACTAGCAGTTACCTAATGCGGAGGAATAAATGCAAGCCATATTTGAATCCTTCTCCCTGAAAGCTTTCTTCTGACTTTTATTTTAGACATGGGAAAATCACTTTCTCACCTGCCTATGCACACGTGCAAGGAAGATGGCTATGATGGAGGCACAGTGTCTGATAATATGAGGAATGGGTTAGTTCACTCAGAGTCGCACAATGAAGATGGCAGATGTGGAGATGTATCGCAGTTTCCCTATGTGGAATTTACAGGAAGAGACAGCGTCACCTGCCCGACTTGCCAGGGAACAGGAAGAATTCCACGAGGTAAGTTTTCTTTATTTCTTTTTTTAACCTATAAATTTACCTCATAACCATGTACAGTCGTAACTGTAATAATCCATAACAAATAGCTCTCCTAGTCAAGGTGAAGTTTTTTCATCTTTTTTACTTTTTAGCACTAAGCAGTTTGTTATGATTACACTGGATGAATGAAACCAATTGAGTCAGCTTTGGCTATTACCTGTTGGGTCTTCTGTCTGTACAATGCCAGTGTTACTTGCTTCTCAGCTTTAAATTCACACATAACTCTAGCTCTTGCAAGTTGAATTTGCAAACCTTTATTTTTGTGACATTGCGTTTTTTTAACTACCTATTTTAAACTATTTGAATCAATAGATAACTTTGCAAAAATAGCTGCAAATACAGAGAGTGAAAAGTAGACCTGTGCTACAATACGTTTTCCCTGATCATTTATAGTGAATTTTCTGCCCTCGCTGCTGTCAGTGCCCCTTGTTTTCCTTTGCCCTTCCTTTGTCCCTGCTAGGCAGAGGACCCCAGCTGGGAGTTGAAAATATATAGGATCTTGGGCTGTCTCGGGAAGGAGTAGGCTGCACAGCATTAGTCTTCATGCCTAACTGTTTTGTTTGCTTGCTGCCCTCATCCTTTGCTTTTCCTTTTCTTCTAATAAAACATTGAGTTTTATTACACTTCTCTCCTATGTGATAAGCCACCTGAATAGCTATTTAGAACAGACCTTTGAAAGGAGAATGCAGGATATCTGAAACTGGGCAAAAGAAGAGAGTGGCAAATGCAGTGTGCCAGGGCACAGCCTTCTGTTTCAGCTGTAAGATCTTCCCTTTGATGTGGGGAGGAACTGATGAGGTTTCGTGTTTGGTACTTGTGCTGGTTTTGGCTGGGATGGAGTTAATTTTCTTCATAGCAGCTAGTATGGGGCTATGTTTTGGATTTGTGCTGAAAACAGTGTTGATAACACAGGGATGTTTTAGTTACTGCTGAGCAGGGCTTACACAGAGTCAAGGCCTTTTCTGCTTCTCACCCCACCCCACCAGCGAGTAGGCTGGGGGTGCACAAGAAGTTGGGAGGGGACACAGCTGGGACAGCTGACCCCAACTGACCAAGGGGATATTCCATACCATATGATGTCATGCTCAACATATAAAGCTGGGGGTGGGGGGAAGCATAGGTTTTACCAGAACTCTTATCCAAAATAGATTATTGGGTGTAAAAGCTCTCAGAACTGATTTTGACTAGGAGGTCAGGAAAATTGACTGATGTCTGTGCCATATTGCCCTTGTACATGTGCTTCAGTCAGATTAGGTTCTGGTATATTTCACATACTTCTGTCTCACCGGCAAATAAGTGGCAGGGGCACAGGATATTTAAACAGTTGCAAATATCAGAAGAGGTTTGTGTTTTAGCTGTTAAACCTTGTACTATGATGTATTCTTTGAGTACCTCTGAATTCAGCAAATTTGAAGTGTGGAAAAGCTATGCAACTAAAAATTATCTTAACTGAAAGACTATAGAGAAGGAAGTTTGTTCTGTTAGCTTGCTGACTTGAAATACTTGATACTATCAATGGCAAGTTTTACTCAAAATAGTGCTAGCTAAAATGCAGTAATAGCGGGATTCCTATGTTCAAAAGCTTACTTCTTTGACTATAGGATTCTTGGATATAATACTTAGACAAATGTGAGTTAATTTATTAAGCATTTTGCAGTAACTATTAAAAATGCATGGTGTCCATACATTCTAATGAAATAATGTGATTAAAGCTAGAACTTTACATGAGTTATTAGAACAAGTAGGGCTATCTTTTTAATTATTTTTCAGTACTTTGGGGGGGGGGAATCATGTTTGGAGCTTTTTAAGGGGAGAGGGGAAAAATTAAGTGTTCACAGAATGACTGTATGACTAGTAGGGAATACTGTAGCACGTGATGTGATGGCTAAACTGTAAAACAAACACATGAAATTGTGTTTCGTTACTTCGACAGATTTAGCTTTTCAGCATGATAAAGTATGAAAGTAGGACGGTGCTGTTTTGTTCAAAGGTTGAAGATGCTTCATTGAAGCTGAGATGAAAATCTGTTTTAAACTGATAGAGGTTTTTTAGAAGGTTGATGTTACTACTAACTGCTTAGCATGCTTTGCTCAGCTTAGTGATTCAGCATGGAATCACTTCTAGGTGGTTGATTAGCTGAGTGATAATGCTGGTCAAATTCTGCATTTGGCTTAAAAAATGCAAATCAGACTTCGTCTTGAGGCTTCTCTGTTCTCATACAGATGAATCTCAATTCCATTTTCTTGTACAGCAAAGAGCAAAAGCTGTAAAGGCAGATGTAGTCCATGTATTTTCAACAGCTCATCTGTGCTTGTGTTTTTTTATTTCTACTGTTAAGATATCCCCCTTTTAAAAATGCTGTCTAGTGAAGTAACTTGTTGCTTGGAGAAATTCCAGTAGATACTTTTTTGGCTTCCAGGGTGCTGCAGCTCAGTCCCATGAGAAGTGGTTGTATATACCAGTGATTTCCAGAATGCAGTGTATATATAACTTGTGTTGCCAAAGCCACCCAAATTGATGCATGTATTTGTTCTTAAACAAACCTGACTTCTGCTTTTCAGAAGAGTACATGTAGAATGCCTTCTGGAACAGTTCTTGCTGCCCGAGCTTCTGAATGTTTTTTCCTATGACTTTATATGGTCTGGCATAGAGAGCTGGAAGCTGTTATGTACCTCCGTTTCTCTCGAGGAAATGGTGCCAGAGGCATGCTGCCTCCTGTGCATGTATGCAGCACAGAGGCAGTTTGTTGCTGTTTTGGTCTTTGCGGGCTTGGCGTTTTTTCCTCTGTCTTGTATAAGCCATGATCTATTTCAGAAAGTGACATAAGCTACAGAAGTATTCCACTCGGGCCTATCTGGAATTTAAATGTTTATCTTCAGTGTTTATTCTTTGGTGCCCTTAAGTTATAATGGGCAGTCTTTGTTTGAAGCGACTGCAACAATACTTACTCTTTGTTTGTCTAAATTCTGAAAGGGTGTTTTTGTTTCCAGGGCAGGAAAATCAGCTGGTAGCGTTAATTCCATACAGTGATCAGAGACTGAGGCCAAGAAGAACGTAAGTTAATAGTTAGTTCTGATATATGAATCTAGAATTAATTCTTCTCTCCTAGTTAAAATTCAGCAATTTAGAGGAGATAGTGTCAAGAAGAATCAAGCAAGTATCACTGGAATGTTTTCTTGCATTCAGTATTGAAAGAACCCTGCTCGTGAGTAATATCAACCTTAACCTCTAACGCTTGGAGAGTTATGTATTAACAGGTGTGCATACTCCCATCACAGTATGTCTTATGAAGCTAAGTAACACTGTATAATCTCTTCATGTAGTTATTTATCTGAATGTCTACAGTAATTATGCAAGAATTTATCACTCTGTAGCATCTTAATTGATCTAAGCAGATATATCTTCAGTGTTAAAGTCTGAGTAAAGTGATAACTTCTTTGGGCCACTACTACAAAGTAAGTCGCCTAGAAATTCATTTGTAAAGCTCTGAGCAGCCAGCAAAATCAACAAATTCATCACTCTGATATAGAATTTTTTTTTCCCCTAGGATCTACTTAAAGGTTTAATTACAGTGCTCAGGGCTTCTTGTTCTGATACTTTTTGGTTTTTTTCTTAATGTTTGGATGTTTCTGTAGTAAACAGAAATGAGTACCAGGGAAAAAAAAAATACGGTAACTTCACATAATACTATCCTGGATCATATATCTGATGTAATAGTAGTACAAATTCGAAACATATTACTTTAGTGTTCTAATTTTGAGATAATTTGAGCTGCAGTAGAGCCTTTTATTTGTGTATTTTTTAATTCTCTCTCACACACGCACGCACCCCTTTTATATTAGGTTAATTGTGAATTTCCTGTTCCTTAGCAGGAGTCTTAACACTTCCCTGAAAGTCTTTTATGACAAAGAATCTCATGTAAGGCGTACAAGAGCTTTATTCTTCTTTCTGGGTGTGTTGTGCAAGAGTCCTGCAGAATAGGGACAAAAGTTCTGCTATAAATAAATTTTAAGAGGGAAGTGCTTATGTTTCAAAGCACATAAATATTTACTTCTTCCATTTTCCTCTTTAAGTTACAAATGTTGGGATAACCACATGTTTTGAAACTTGATTTCTGATGTACATACAAGAGTAACATCTCTGAGACATAGACATGAAGTGCAGCATAGCTTTTTTTCCCCTTTGGAAGCTACTGGAAGGTAGAAATAGACTGAACTAGTTGTATTGACTAGTCATGCTCCTTATCACTTAAAAGAAAATAACATGCCACTATTGTTTAATGTGCTTTTGAGACTGAAATGTGCTCTTTTTTCCTCCAGAAAGCTCTACGTGACTGCTTCTGTAATTGTATGTTTACTGCTTTCTGGGCTGGCTGTATTCTTCCTGTTTCCTCGCTCAATCGACGTTGAATACATTGGTGTGAAGTCAGTATATGTCACTTATGAACAGGGTAGACGTATAATATATCTAAATATTACGGTAAGTCTAGCTATCTGTTTGGATGTTTGTAATGCATAAATGCAACAAGAGGTGCTACTGTGACAGTTTAATATACATAGAAATTGTGGTCTAACTGGTAAGCTTAGTTAGTGCCTTAAGAAATACAAGCAGATACAATGACCAGTTTGAAAAATGTAACTGGACCTGCTGTGGCTGGTTCCTGTAGCTATAGCTAATAGAGGTGTAGTTGCAAGCTACCATTGGGTCTTCTGTTTTTCATAGGAACAGTGACTTGGAGTTCTCTGCGTTACTTTTGGAATATAAGTGAAATGCGGGGTATGTGTGTATGTAGGAATATTATTAAATGCTCTCCTGGTATTATGCATTTGTCAACTGGTTTTGAGGAAAAATAATATCTTATCCACCTTAAAACTTAGAGTTCTTTTCACGTGCTTCTTGATTTCTTGGTAATGCAGTCAATACAGGACTTTTTAAATACAAATTTAAAAATGTGTGCTTATCAAGATATGCAGAATGGATAGCTGTTAGTGTTTTGTTTTTCAGAACACATTAAATATAACAAACAACAACTATTACTCTGTTGAAGTGGCAAATATCACAGCCCAAGTTCAGTTTTCAAAAACAGTTATTGGCAAAGCACGGCTAAACAACATCACCAACATTGGTCCTCTGGATATGAAACAGGTAAATAGGATATGCTTTTGAAGTTGAATACATGTTAATCTTTGTATATAAATCTACTCACTTGGGTTTTCATTGCTTTTTTTTTTTAGATTGACTATATGGTGCCCACAGTCATACAAGATGAAATGAGCTACATGTTGTAAGTGTACTCATCTCTAAATATCCCACGGGTCTTATTAAAAATTAAGATGGTGCTAAAAACGACTTTTTTCAAAGCCAGAGGAAATGAATTTGCAGAGGCAAATTGTTGTGGCATTTTCTTTGTGTGAGTTCAATAGTAATGAAAAATACTTGAACAGTGGTTGTTTCAATAGTTTTATTTAGTGGCTTGCTGTAACTGGCTCTCAGCACTTAGAATGGTATCTCTAGCCCAATGTTTTAGGCCTTAGCAATAGCTAGGACCCGCTGGTTTGGGGGACAAAAGTGCAGGTGTGTGCCCTAACACATTCCCTAGTAACTTTCCCACAGATTTCTCTGGCGGTAGAGGGAATTTGTGTTTAATTCTATACAAATTAGGGGCTAATTTGTATTTATTTTCTTCAGACCATGTGTATACAATGGTAAGCAGTGTTTACAGCCTTTTCTTTAAACTTTCAGCTGTTTTATTCATAGCTTCTGAAAGTTCATTTGACCAACAGACTATTAGCTCAGTATATCTTGGTAATAAACCCAAATGTTGGTTCTCTTACACTGAAATGCAGACTGAACAGAAAGAGTTAACTACTTAGACTTCAGGTCTGTGTGTAGTTCCAGTGGATGCCAACCCCTTTGGGATGGGAGAGAATCTTACAGCTTTGAAGTGTTGGAATAAATTGAAATAGGTATGAAATAGCAAATTGGGCACTAACTTTAAATAAGCAGAAAGTGTTGTACTTCTGGCTGGTGAGGGGTCTGGAGAACAAGTCTTACGAGGAGCGGCTGAGGGAACTGGGATTGTTTAGCCTGGAGAAAAGGAGGCTG